ACCCTCATCACATGATATGTAGGAACAACCAAATGAGATGATAATACAAAACATTAAAAGACGGAATGAGATATATCAAAAAACGAGGAACAGCAAGTCAAACTTTTACTTCAGTGACTTTGAAAAGATATAAAGGAGAAGACAGAGTCATGTGTTTATTTTCATGTGGTGTTGGAGCAACAAGTAAGCTGCTCTATTACTTAACTTGATGACCTTTTACACCTTTGTATAATAGCCATTGGGATTGCATTGGTGATCTGCAGTTATGTTCTCCCCATCAGGTCATTCATCAGGACTGATATAGACATTGAAAATGTAAGAAATGATATTGAAATAAAATGTATATATATTTCTTGTTACATATAGATCATGTTCTTGGCTGGTATTGTACTCATTATTGGCCTAGATTCTTTTCGTAAGTCACTAGTAGGGACAGCTCTGTTTTTTGGAGGATTATTGCTAGCATACTTCTACATGTATCAAGTGTATGCTTTCTATATTGGTGGTCTGGTCATAGCAGCTATTGGACTTTATCTATTATTAAAGTAATGTAGATTCCAATTTGGCTATTAATGAACATTGTACATAACTTGCTATAGATCATGTAATTATAATGGCTCTCTCTCTCTTTATAATTATAGAGCTAGAAATCCCTGGATAGTGGGCACCATTAAATGGTCACTTGGTTTTTGAAAATTTGTTCAAGTTAACATTAGAAGTTTTAGGCATTATTTTACATTTTAATAATTATGACAAGTTTTGAAAAACTTTTATTTGAAATAATTTTAGAATTTTAGGTTCAAAAATACAAATCAGCAACAATGATATAGCCAAGCTGCGACATAATGTCCTTTACAAATGCTTCTCTGTAGAATCAAGAAACATAATATCCTCCTTGATGCAATAAAACAAATTTTGGTCTCAAAAAATATAATCAAACTGCTACAAGTTCACACTGTACAAGAAACAAACAAGTGGGGTCTGGAGGCAGAAACAAGTTGTAGTTTTTAAAAGTAACATAAAAAGGATGAGAGTGAATGACATGACAAAAGGAAAAGATAGAGGTGCAAGCACTGCAGTAATGGGAATTGCCCTGATGAGGGAAAGTAGTAGGAAAGAGAAATATGAGATCTAGGGCATCATTGTATGAATGGGAGTTACCCTCATCAGATGATATGTAGGAAAACTGAATGAGAGGATTATAATACAAAACGAGAACTGAGATGCAATCAGATATAGCAGAAAACGGGGGAACAGTAACAGAAGACAAACTTTTATTTCAGCCTTTTAGTGACTTTGAAAAGACAGAGAAAAATAATACAGAGCCATGTGTGAAAGTAAGCTGTTCTATTACTTTTGCTTAACTTGATGACCTTTTATACTTTCTATAGTCCTTATTGGGATTGTATTGGTGATCTGCAGTTATGTTTTTCCAATCAGGTCATACATCAAAACTGATATAGACATTGAAAATGTAAGGAATATTATTAAAATAAAATGCATATCATTCTATTTCTTGTTGCACATAGATGATGTTCTTTGCTGGTATCGTACTCATTATTGGTATTGGCTGTTTTCGTAAATCACTGGAAGGGACAGTTCTGTTTATTGGAGGAATATATATTGCTAGCATACTTCTACATGTATGAAGTGCATGCTTTGTATATTGGTGGTCTGATCTTAGCAGTTATTGGACTTTATCTAATATTAAAGTAAAGTAGATACCAATTTTAAAAGCTACATTGTACATAGCGGTTTTGTCATTTCAATAATCTTGATATAAAATTTTGAAACATTTTTATTTGAAAGAACTTTCAGAATTTTAAGCTACAAAAACACAATATTAACAGCCACAATGATAGCCAAAACAAATGTATAAATAAACAAATGTATGAACTTTATGAACTTTGTAACAATCCTTGTACTTTAATGACTGACTAGCTCTGTCTCTCTCTCATTTCTATAGCTAATGTTAGATAAGATGACTCATTTGTCTGAGACTGTTCATACACTCAGTGCTAGATTAGTACTGCTTGAAATACAGCTTAAAATTAAAGACACAAAAACTACATCAGGTTAGCAGTATAGGTTATTATTGTGTCTCAAATTCTCTTTAGTTTGTCATATTGGTACCCAAACTGAAGATCAATTACTACAGTCCATCCTGTCACAAGAAACAGAGACACTGCTGGACCCCACCCTGTCACCAGTATCAACCCCAACTCTCTCTCCTTCTCCTACCAACTTTACAAGTTCTCATAGTTCAAGCAGACTTCTACCCATTGCTGCTACAAGTCCACACAGTACAAGTGGCTCATTATTAGCGACTGCTCCACAGACTCCTGAGGATACAAGACAACTCATTCAAAGCTTGAGGGCTAGAGCACGCTCTACGAAAGAACTGTTGCACAAAACAGGCCATGCAGCCTCTCATGATGATAGTATATAGACCTTTACATGAAATCATTTTAAAACAGAATTATATATACAACTCTATTAGTATCTGTATCTGCAAGTATAGATTTAATAATAATAAATAATGCAAGAAACAAATGAAGTCCATTTGTGTGAGGAGTCAGAAACAAGTAGTTTTTAAAGTTAAAATCTAAAAAATACAAAGGAGGATGAGAGTGAATGAAACAACAAGGAAAAGACATGTGCATGCAGTATGAAATTGCTATAAATTGTACAGAATGTAGGAAAGTAGTAGGAAAGAGAAATATGACATCTAGGTGTGTACACACATTATGGGCATTCCTGTATAAGTGGGAGTTACCCTCATCACATGATATATGGTAGGAACAACTAAATGAGACGATAATACAAAACAAAAAAGACGGAATGAGATATATCAAAAAACGAGGAACAGCAAGACAATCTTTTACTTCAGTGACTTTGAAAAGATACAAAGGAGAAGACAGAATCATGTGGTTATTCTCATTTGGTGCTGGAACAACAAGTAAGCTGCTCTATTACTTAACTTGATGACCTTTTACACTTTTGTATAATAGCCATTGGGATTGCATTGGTGATCTGCAGTTATGTTCTCCCCATCAGGTCATTCATCAGGACTGATATAGACATTGAAAATGTAAGAAATGATATTGAAATAAAATGTATATTCTTGTTGCACATAGATCATGTTCTTGGCTGGTATCATACTCATTATTGGCCTAGATTCTTTTCGTAAGTCACTGGAAGGAACAGCTCTGTTTTTTGGAGGATTATTGCTAGCATACTTCTGCATGTATCAAGTGCATGCTTTGTATATTGGTGGTCTGGCCATAGCAGTTATTGGACTTTATCTAATATTAAAGTAATGTAGATACCAATTTTAAATAGATATTAATGTACATTGTACAAAGCTTGAGCTATAATCATGTAGTTATAATCTTCTCTCTCTTTATAACTTAGGGTTAGCAATCCATGGATAGTGAGTATCATTAAACAGTTATTGAACATTCCTTCAATTAAACATTAGAAGTTTCAGGCATTATTTTTCATTTTAATAATTATGATAAGTTTTGAAACATCTTTATTTGAAAGAACTTTCAGAATTTAAACTGCAAAAACAATATTAACAGCCATAATGATAGCCCAACTGCCATCCAATGTCCTTTACAAATGTTTCTCTGGATCCCATACTTTCATCCATAAGTCATACTAATACCCTCCTCCAAGCATTCAAAAACAAATTTTGGTTTCAAAAAATATTTGTTCTAAATAATTATAAATCAAATATATTATTAATGTTATAATTAATTACTATTTACACATACAGTGAAGCAGTCAGTGATTTGCGAGCAAAGTTTCACATACAATATCGTAAAATTAGGACAGGAAAGTAATTAGAAATAATAATAATAATAATAGTAATAATAATAATAATAATAATAATAATAATAATAATAATAGTAAACGTAATGTGAATTAGGGACAGTCAGTTTTATTGTGTGTAAGGAGATAAATAGTAATAAATAATAATTAACAGTATCAGCAAGTAATTATAAGACGCATAGCAATAATAGTAACGATAATAATAATAATAATAATAATAATAATATATTTACAAAATATCACAAGTTTAATAGCCAGACTTGAGTGAATGGGCACACGGTCAAAGAGAAAAGGATTTCAGAAAAAGGAGAAACTGCAACTTCAATTATTACCATTTAAGATAATAATCAGTGGAAGGTAAAAGCTATAGGAGAAGTGATAAAGACAGAAGCAACACATTTCCCTAGTTAGAGACAATGAGACGAAGCATTAGTATTAGATAGAAAGCCAAGAAAGAATTGATATAAGAGAGACTCAGGAGAGAAAGAGATGGGTTTACTGCTGTCTGCCAAGTTTCTGAAAAAAAAGAACAAAAAGATTTTAGTTAGTTAAATGTAGTACTGAATCACAACTTAAGCCCAACATACACTATTGCAAACAACTTGTTGCATGCAACACAGTTTATACAGGAGTCAATGGAGGCTTGAAACATGTTGCATGAAATAGAACTATTTCCTATTTCAAGCAGTAATGTTGCAAGCTCCATTGGGTCCTGTATAAACTGTCTTGCATGCAACAAAATGCTGCATAGTGTACTGTAAAAGTTACATGTACATAGTTTGAGGAACACCAAAATGTCTTTGCTGCAATAATTATAGACAAAGGCTTACCAGATTTTTGTCAGCAGCAGTTCGAAAATCATCAATCGTCTTAAAATTGGATAAAATGTCACTAAGCTCCGAAGATATCGATATTACATGGTTTCCCTGCAAAATTGAGAAGAAACAATAAAATAGAAAATTCTTATATCATAATACTTTATAATAATTAAGGAAGGCCCAGAATTTCTCTAAGCCGTAAAGATGATTGCTGCGGAAATCGGTGATGGTGTCTTTCTCAAAATCGTCAAAAACTTCTTGTCTGTACTTGATCTCAAGCCCGTAACTGTAGAATCTGAACAGACACTCTAAGCCATACCTAATGTACAAGCATAATGAAAATAAAAAATAAAGTGGATATGATGATTTAATTCAACCTGTATCCTGCCTGAGCGTCTTCGTGGGCAAGAGATCTGAATTCGTCAAACATTTTCCTTTTGAAATAAAAAATAAAATTAATAAATAAATAAAATAATTTTAAAAAGTTGAGCAATAAAAGAAGAGAACAGAGCTTCTCCTTGTACCTGTTGAAGTGCGTTCTAAGAAAGAATGACCAAAAGCGGAAAAGAGTATTCATCGCAGATGATCTACCAGCACCATGCTTCTTTCGCTCTACATAAAACAAATACAGTAATTTTAATGAAACACATACATATATGTAAAATACCTTTAAGACACTGATAGCGATATTTATCATAGCGCTGTTGCTGAAACCCGTTAGCCTTCAGTAGAGAATGTGAAGGATGTTGAAACTGCGGTATTGAATAAGCAGCTGGTGAAGAACTATCCCCGGGTGAGGTACCGTATGAATCGGTACGAGCTCTGATACCGCTGGGTTTATTAGCCAATAGCCAACCAACATGCTCCTCTGTTGGTGGATTGGGGAAGCACTTGGTCTTGTAGCTGGCACACAACTATGGGAAAGGATCAATAAAGATGCAATGTATAAACATGAATGAGTTGAGAGATCTAAATTATACTCTATACTGTATATAAGGATTGAAAAATTCCTACTTTACATGTATACATGCAATTATATGTACATGTACATGCATTCTAACAAAAAAGAACAGAAATAATTCCAGTCATCATATCAACTCCAACTCTTAATCACCTTTGGCTCTTTGCTAGGCAGAATAGGTGCTGGATAGAATCTAGCCCTTTGCTCCAGCCAAGGATGAGGAGGAGTACTAGCAGTGGTCACATTATCCTTAGTACCAGGAGAGGCAACGGCTTGATTGGAGGGGGAGGGAGGAGGAGGAGGAGAAGAGACTGATGAGGCTTGTCTCTCTCCGCCATCTTGAACATCAAGATCAAACTGGAGGTCGTCCTCGGGGAGACCTTCGCTCTCCTCTTTAATTTGTCCTCTCTGAGACTCAAACTCGGCCTGCGATATAACGGAGAGTTTTGATCTGATGGCAGAAGCATTTGTAGTGGCAGTCATTTCAGCATTAACCATCATATCCTAAAAGAAAAGGCAATAAATGAATAAATCAATTTAAACAAATTAATAAAAATAATAATTAAAATAAAGTATGAAGTACCTGTTCATAAAAGTAGAGACCGTCGCTGATTGCTTGAGATATCTCTTCCGTCAGTTTGGAGCGAGGGGTGTGGTTTCCTGTCCGGTCATGTGACGAGGCACGAGACGACTGAGTGATGATTAATAATTTTTTGACAAAATCGTCAGTCAAATCGTCCTCTGGCATACCATCAGCGTCAGTAGGCTCCTCACTATAGAAAAAGATTTTATTCTTCATTAGAAATATACTGTATCTGTACAGTGTGGCCATTTTAAGAAATTGGCCAATTTTTGAAAAGTTCCCTGTACTATAGTACATGGTTTTTTCCAAAAATGGCTCCGAAATCACCCCCAATTTTTTATTACATTTTCTGATACATATTGATGCACTTATGCTGTGTAGAAAGTTTGAGCCGATTCCGACTTCAATTTTTCAAGTTACGGCCATTTGAAGAATTAAGATACTAAATGTTACTATAGTGTATATACACGTACAGGCACAGTGTACATACCCAAGTCCTTCGGTGAAGTTATTTTGCTTTCCTCCAAGATTATAATCCTCATCAAGAGAAAAGGTCAACTCCTCGTTACCCTCAGCCGAAGGCTCCGGAAATTGTAAAACTCTTTGAGCAACCTACACACGCATAATAATAATAATAATAATAATAATAATAATAATAAATAATAATAAATATTCAGGGCCGATAATAAAATCCAAATTAAAGGAAATTGCTACAAGTACATTGCATACACTACAGAATAAACAGCAGCCTCTCTTAAAGCAACATACAGTTATATGCACTACTACATGATGTGCACTTGGCAAACACACATTTACTATATCATGAGCCAAAACCATGATTACTAATTTCACTAAAAATCTTATTAAACTGACCAAAGAATACTACCATTGTCACTATCACTGCTACTATACTATAACAGTACATTTAAACAAAGGACAAAGAGAGACAACAGCTCCATCATAATAACACAAAGGATACAAAAAACTACATGTGTGTATATACATGTACATGTACATGGAAAATGTAACAGACTAATAAGATTAAGATTACTACACACAATTATTCTTGTAAGTTAGTAAAGCCACACGTACTTTTCCTCCTTCTGCTGTCTTGAGTCCTTTCCTTTTCCTTTGCACGGCCATCCACTCTCCATCCGTCTTCTTTGAAGCATCACTCTTTTCTCCTTCCTCTCCCTTCTCTTCTCCTTCTTTCTTCCCGGTCTGTGAAGACGGCGGAGAGTCAAGAGGTACTATACCATCAGGCGGAGTTATCTCTTTCCCTTTGTCGCTAGCAGGACACTCTAGTACGCTAGGGGCAGGTGTGGTCACGTCTGATGAAGAATGAGACACTGTGGGGACTGAATCAGGTTCTTCTCCAACTATTAATAATAAAATTAAAAAAAAATAATAACAATAATAATATTAATTTAACTGGTAAAAACAGCTGCACCATTATCATGCTTGTAAATTGCTGTGCAAAAATAAATTAATTCACAAAGAAAAGCTCACCATTATTCTCCTTGTCACTCTTAGCAATTGTTTTACCAGGAGCAGATAGAGTAGGAGTAGTGGCACTACTCTTACTGTTACCAGCATTGGTCCTGTGCTGATACTTGTCATGATGACCAGTTGATCCTTTATTACCAGTTGATGCATTGTGGGTGTAGTAATGGCCGCGTGACTGTTGGTGTGTGTTAGTGCCAGTGTTCGGTGGGTGGTGGGTGTAGATGTTAGTAGCAGCTGGATTATAATAGTAGGGGTTGATGTGATGGTGAGGGGGACCTTTGTGAGTCACAGGCGGAGGTTGTTCATCTGTGGAGAGGGAGAGAAAGAAATTAAATGGTGCAAGATTACAACAAAATCCTAACAATAAACAACAATATCCTAATAATAAACAGCACAATCCTAACAATAAACAGTAATATCCTAATAATAAACAGCAATATCCTAACAATAAACAGTTCAAATCCTAACCTTTCCCCATGAGCCACCTAGTCCAGTTTCCTTTCCTTCTCACTCTCTCGTTCTTCATCTCCAGGACATGGCTACCTTGCAGTGACTCTTTAATGGTAGCTATGTCTTGAGAGAGAGCCCTCACTCTGTTGAACCTACTGATCACTACCAGTGGGACGTATCCTGAATCATCCATCTATTAATAATATTAATAATAATAATAATAATAGAAATTAATAAATAATATTGACCTGGCCTCTGAGAAAATAGTCTTTCTGTAGATTCTCATCGCTAAAATAATACTCACTATAAAGGAGGAGGAAAAAGAAATACAATACAATTAAGAAGACAAAGTACTTTAACGACAAACAACAAGTAAGGAAAAGAACAGGAAATATTAAAGATACATATACATGTACATATACATACATGCATATTAAAGGAAGTAACCAGTATTGCTACTTCAAAAGCTACATACAGTACATGTAGCATCCTCATAAAGTCTTAGCTATACTGTAGCTTACATTTGTTTCTTTATGTATTCTTTAAGAGTCCCATCGTCCACTGACAGTATAGGAGCTGTGTACATTATGGGTCCGTTATAAGGAGAGTAGAAGACATTGGAACTCCCAGTTAGTCCACCTCCATCGTAATACATTGTGGGAACATTGCTACCTGGAAACTGATACCCAGCTGCAGCTGAAAAGAGAGAGAAAGAAATATAATCTTTATTGACTCAAACACATCTTAACTGCACGTACACGTGCTTCTTGAATAAAAAGGCGGATTGGATTAGAAAGCAACACAGTATCGATAAAACACTTGTTCTATACTTACCATTTCCGCCAACTCCCACTCCTCCTGTCCAATTTCCCCCACGTCCATTATGATACACGCCCTCGCCGTCTTCTAAATAATGCTCACTTCCCCCGCCCCCACGATGATCCCGTGACTTGTAGGTGTGGTCCCGATCAAACCTCAGTGGGCGGTGCGGCTTATCTCGGTCTCTCCCTCGATCAAAACGACCTCCTCCTCCTCCTCCTCTCTCTCGTCTGTCCCTATCATTAAAATCTTTATCTCCTCCACCTCTCTTTCCTCCGCCGTACGAGTGCCAATGGTCACGGGACTCTCCACGGTGACGATAAAACCCTCTCGCTGATGGACGGCTGGGTTCTATATTAAGGGGAACCCATTTCTGCTTATTACCACCTGAAGAAAGAGAAAGAAAAGGATATGAAACATACAGTACGTGTACATGCCTAAAGCTATTTAAAGTGAATTAATTCTTCCCTTATTCATATAACACAATATGGGCATGTCCTTATTGACACAAAATAAATATGGAAGATGTAGATAGCTTAAAGCATTAATGCTCCAAAGCTAATTGCTACTAATAGACACTGTACCAGTACACAATGACAGTCAATGATACCAAGAACGGGGAGTGGCTTGGAGGGGACAATAAGTGGCCAATTATCAAGTTTTACAGCAATAGTACATGTACATAAAGAAAAGGTGATTTTATGCAATATCAATCATGAAAGACACTGATCCAGGGTCAAACTCAACGACAATGGTGAGTACTATAGACACAGAATCTGTATATAGTGGCCATAACTAGAGATAGAGAGATATGGAGTTCCAGGAGAAGGACATATATAAGTGTGATATCACAAGGAAATGAACAAGTTTCCTTGACTGTAATAACAGACTCATTATGGTGACACCTGTTAGCTGTGTAATGTTAGGGACAGGAAAGATAAGTACATTTGACAATCATTTTAACACACAGACACACAGTCACACCTGCAGCTGCCACATTTCAAACTCATATTTACACAGCAGCTGCACAAGAAGTGACATTTAAACACAAACTGTCATAAATAAGGATGTACATTAATTGTGATATTACTACTACCATTAACTAAAGACCTATAAAGCATTTAAAACATACTTTATAAGTACATATACATGTACTTATGTAAATATAAAATTAAAATGTGATTAGAAACAAATTTAACTGTATATATACAAAACAGTCTCTGCTGTAGC